CAATTGGTGAAGCATTAGCCTTAGATCGAGAAGAGTTAATAAGGAAGCAGGATATGCATATTGTGCCCTATGCAAATTTTACAATTTTGCTCTCTCTGTCCCTTTGTTTAGTTCGCACCCTTTTATCTGTATAAATAAGACTGTTTGAATCTTGCATGGGGACTCACATTATCTGAATGTATTAGCAGAGCGCTGTGCTAATAAAACAGAGTGGTCTAACAAACTATGAGTCCTGAGTCTAACTTTGACACTAGACAAATTGTTTGGAAATACATTGGAACAAGATACAAAGCAATGTGGTGGATTCTCCATCACTGGCAATTTTTAAATCAAGAACAGATGTTTTTCTAAAAGATAAGGTCTAGAAATTATTTTGGAGGAGTTCTATAAGCTTTGTTATACAGATGGTCAGACTAGATGATCACAATGGTCCCTTCTTTGAATCCATAGGAAGGTGTCTCGTGAATAACTGACTGATTTAAGTTTATATACTGTTTTTCTCCATAATCAGCCAAAGTTAGTTCACAGGAGATGGAAAGTTAGGTTTCAGCATATGAAGTGATGAATGATACAAAACAGCCATAACTTTTAAATATATTTATTTTTCCTTTTTATAGTGACGATTTCTCATTATAAAAACCATATAATAATCCAACTTCTTTATTATTTTATTAAATTCTGACAGTTTAAGAATCTATGAGAATTGCTTGCCCAAGAAATTCTGAGATTCTTAGCCAAGAATTTTAGTTTCAAAATAATACACGAGTGAACTCCTGACCTCACTGAAGTTAATGACTTAACTACCAATGACTTCAACCGGGCAAGGAATTCACCAATGAGTTTCTAGGGTAAGCTATACTTCTGAAAATGGGCATAAAGCTAGATTCTCAATTCTTAAGAATTACAATAAATAGTTGATGGTTAAGAAAATGGAGAGCACTTTTGGCAGCAGATATACAGGACCATGTGCATCCACAGACTAATTTTATATATGAATTTCACTTTTCTCCTTACAATCAATGTTATATCCTTTTCAATGGGAGCATGTTTCTTCTTGACTCCAATGATCTGAGACTTAGATTCAGCAAGTGTGCCCAATCTTAATATTCCTTTAAAACAATCTTTAAATTTAGTTCGTTTAAACCCATGAAACAAAGGGTAAAACCAAAACAGAAGGTGCACTGGTCCACTTTGAAAACAGAATACCTTCACAGAATCTCACTCCAGCATCCTCATAAAATAATACAGTAAAGAGCAATTTCTCCTCTGATTGGTTGTAAAAAGTTAAAAATTGATTTAAAGTATAAGCCTACAGTAAACGGCAGAGTTTTTACATATTTTTAACAGAAGTCTGAACCACCCTCCATACTTAGCCCCTTCTATCCAATCACAATATTTAAAATGTATATATGATATTAAAAAAGCAAAATGCCATAGATTTAAGGAATGTAACATTATACTAGGATTTAGGCCACAGGTTTTTTCAAAGTACAAAATTAAAAAGACTACATTCATCATGTTGCTCAGTGGGTTCAAGTTTAAGCAGATTTCAGTCACTGAGTAATGCCTAATGGAACTGCTAATAAGATAAAAGCAAAAGTTTTCACAAAAATTAACTTTTGGATACAGTTGGCCCAATTCAATCAAGTTTAAATTTTAAAAATCGAATTAGTTTTCAGCAGCATATTGAATAGAAGTAAATAATTGTCAAATTAATAATCTGATATAAAAGAAATTATATATTTGCCAATGTTTGAAAATGTTTTTGCTGTAATATTTCTTATGCAATTTCTACTAAATTTGCTCAGAAACCAAGTTGGCTGAAACATTACTGATAAAATATATTTTTCTATATAGTATTTATTCAGTCTGTCCGATGCCAAAAAAATATAATTCAACGATAGGAAGCCAACTTCAATTCTCACTGTGAAATCAGGTACACGGAATCCATCAGATGTTCAATTCCACTGGCATGAACAGTCTGTAGGCTCTTGGATGACATACATCACTTCAGTGCCATTTCCTGAGCAGTATAGTGGCACAGTAAGGTTCTGTACTCCATTTTCACGACAACATTTACAGAATCTTAAATGGCTATCGATATTGACATTAAAAATTGTAGCTGAGGGGCATTTCCCTTCACAGGAAGCCACATTTATCTATTAGTGACAGAGAAAGAGAAATTATCAAGTTTCATTAACAAGATGAAACAAAACATTTCAAAATTAACTGTAATCAGAATCTGTTTTTACATTTAAAAATATCTAGGGTTTTGTAAAGGATTCTGATATGTAATAATTATTTTCCCTATTAAAAATCATTTGAAAGTTATCGCATACAAAAGTATGTTACATGGTTATGTCAATTCTAAGTTGAGGTGAGTCTCTTTGTTCTTGCCTTTTCTTTTTTAAATGAAGTCAGCTTCTAAATGTTGAATTGTTTTGTACTTGTGACCACATATGTTGGTTGAGCCTGAACAAAATTTGGTGCTTTATTTTAAAGCTGTTTATCACTAACTTTTACCTTATACTACCTTCTTCTCCAAGCAATCCACTCCCTAATCCTGGCCTAGCACTGTTGTGGAAGTGCATCTAGGCTTTTGAAGGTAATGAGCCAGACACTAATGTATAAAAGATGACTTAAGTTATATCCAGGTGGAGCTATATGGTACTCCTTAATTAAGGCCTGATCCAAAGCCCACTGAAGTCAATGGAAAGCTTCCATTGGGCTATGGATAGCAGGCCCTTAAACAGGGATATTATTCCTGTGAGAGCAAAAGCCTACCCCATACAGAGCTTCCTATAACCTAAGAAGAGAATCTTCAGATCTTCTTCTCCCTTCTCTGGTTCTGAGAAGCTGTTTAAGCTCAAAAACTTGTCCAGCCATTACTAAATCCTAAAATAGATGGATATATTTATAACTTTTAAATTGTGCAGCTAAAGCTGTGTCCTTACTTTTCGTGGATTAATCTAAGCAAACTGTGGAAAAGTCAATCTTAAGTATTCCTCTGCGGGATCAAGACTGGAAGCACACTAGTGTGATAGCTTTCTCCTTCCTCTTTCAATATGGCTGGCAGCCAGAGAACTGTCATTAGCCACACTATCACTCTGATAGATATATGTGAAAGTATGAGAGCAGAGGTTAGGTCAGCAAAGAACAAGGTGGGACGGGTAGTGGAGGTTGCATAAAAGAACTTGTGCCACAGAATCCAATATCCATCTTTTGTATTGTTTGTTTGGGACTTGAACTTTGGCTATGTCTACTCTTATGGCAGCATATACAGCACATATACTGCACACTCCCCTGGCATGGGTATAAATAGCAATGTAGGCTGTGAAACACTGCCTAAGCGAGTAAAGACATGCTAGAACCTTAGGGTGTATACCCTACATGGCTCTCTAACACCCAGTGTAGTGTCCCACTGCCTCCCAGCTGTTGGAGCCTTTCCCCGCTGTCTTCCCCCGGCAGAACCTTTCACTGCCGCATGTAACTACACATCACAGTGTGGACACAGCCTACTTTTCACTGCAGCATGTTGCTACACATAATCTATACACCATTGCAAGTGTAGACAAGGCCTATATTACCATGGGTGTTATCCTGACCCTAATAACTTCAATGGGACCAGGATTTCATCCAATACTTACAGCATATAAACAGTTTTCTGATATGCTATTGTGCTGGGGCAGATTAGAATGCTGATACACAGTTGTAGAATACATAGAATCATGAAATAACATCCATACATATATTTAACATACATGCCATAGTGATTCAGACTAGTAGTCCATCCAGTCCAGTATGCTGTCTCTGACAGTCGACGGAACCAGATACTTCAGAGGATGGCATTAAAACTTTGCAATCGGCAAATGTGGAACAAATTGCCCACACATAGGTTTCATCCCAAGCATTAATAGTTAGAGATTGCCTTAAGCCCTAAATCATAGAATTACAGGACTGGAAGGAGCCTCAAGAGATCATCTAGTCCAGTCCCCTGCACTCAAGGCAGGACTAAGTATTATCTAGACCAGTGTTTCTCAAAGCCGGTCCGCCGCTTGTTCAGGGAAAGCCCCTGGTGGGCCGGGCCAGTTTGTTTACCTGCCAAGTCCGCAGGTTCAGCCGATTGCGGCTCCCAATGGCCACAGTTCGCCGTTCCAGGCCAATGGGGGCTGCGGGAAGTGGTGTGGGCCGAGGAATGTGCTGGCCGCCCTTCCCACAGCCCCCATTGGCCTGGAGCGGCGAACTGTGGCCAGTGGGAGCCGCGATCGGCCGAACCTGCGGATGCCCGCCAGGGGCTTTCCCTGAACAAGCAGCGGACCGGCTTTGAGAAACACTGATCTAGACCATTCCTGAAAGGTGTTTGTCTAACCTGCTCTTAAAAATCTCCAGTGATGGAGATTCCACAACCTCCATAGGCAACTTATTCCAGCACAAGCTTTAATATCCCTTCCAAAAATTTTGTCTTGAATTATAACTCTGTATCTTCTTGATATCCATATAAATGTCTAATCCATTTTTGATCTTGTTAAGTTCTTGGCCTCAACAACTTCTTGTGGCAATGAGTTCCACAGCTTAATTACACATTGTGTGAAAAAGTATTTCTTTTATTGGTTGTGAATATCCCACTTTTTCATTTCATTGAAAGTCCCCTATTTCTTGTATTATGAGACAGGGAGAACAGTTGCTCCCAATCCACCTTCTCTACATCATTCATTATTGTATATACTCTACCATGTCTGTTATTTGTCTTCTTCCTAATGTACACAATCCCATTCTTTTTAATCTCTCTTCATCTGCAAGTTTTTCTGTGACCTTGAATATTCTCGTCCCTGTTCTCTGAACTACCTCCAGTTTTGCAATACAATTTTTGAGATGGGGTGATCTGTACTGTACACGGTATTCCAGGATAGGCTACATCATTGATTTAAAGACATCTTTTGGGGATTATTCTCCCTCCCATTCCTTATGCATCCTAACATCTTGTTAGCTTTTTTTGATTGCAGCTGTGCATTGAGCAGAGGTTTGCAATGAGCTATTTTGGATTGATACAGTTAATTTAGAACCTTGTAAGAGTAGCTTACATTTTTCCTCTCAATGTGTATTACTTTGATATTTGCCTACATTAAATTTAATTTGCCATCATGTTGCCCGTTTACGTAATTTGTTCAGATCTCTCTGAAGTTCTCAGTCTTCTCTGGTCCTCACTTACCTAAATAACTTTGTCAGCTGCAAACTTTGCTACGCCCCTATTCACACTCCTTTCCAGATCATTAATAAATATATTAAACACCACAGGACCTAGTAAGGAAGTGTCAGACAACTGCTGTTAACCTTTTGCAATGATGAAAATTGACCACTTAAACCTACTCTTTGCATTCTAGGTACTAGCCAACTTTTGAACCATAACAATACTTTGCTTCTCACCCCATAACTATTTAGCTTTTTTAATAGCCTCTTGTGTGGGACCTTGTCAAAGGCCTTTTGGAAGGCTAAATAAATTATGTCAACTGGTTCTCCTTTTTCCACTATATTACTGCCACATTCACACATGCACATAACAGCTTTTATAGTTGAGACCTCACCAAAGCAGAGAGGTATGATGTCTTATTAAATGATCTCCATAAAGGTGATCATCAATGTATGATATAGAGAGATTTGTCATGTGGAAGAGAGAAGATCATTTATATTAGAGAGCTCTTTAAGGAGGAATATGTTTCCATCATTTATAAGTGGAAGCATTTATACTCCCTTTTTTGAGTAACTCCTCTTTAGGGATGTTATTTCATGATGGAGAGGTCAGTGCCTTTGTCAGTGATAAGCAATTATACTGTGTACTTTTCATTTGGAGTCAGATGTTATTCCAGGTAGAAGGGCTCAGCACTTCTGCCATGTATGGGCAAAAGTAATTAATTTTTGCCCACACTTATGAGTAGAATAACATTTCCAGGGTGAGAGGTCTGCTTGATGAGAGGATAACAGCATTTTTTGTTGTATATTGATGTCTGCAATCCTCTTTTTAATACTTGTTTTATTAGTATGACTCATACTCATTATGAAACACAAAGACAACAGTTTTCTATACTTACAGGCCTCTGACTTATACAGTCACTTTTTCTTATAGTTGTTCTGACTGTCACTTTCTGGCAAATCCTTTCTTCCTTTCTACCTGATAAAATATAGAAAATGTTTATTCATTAAATAGACGTTGTGTTCCGTTTATTCATTCTTTAAAATGTGAAAGGAGAATTCCAATAATTGTAATAATTGAATTCTTACATTTTAAATGAATAATATGGTAAAATATTATTTTTGTATCTAAATCAGTAGGCAATGACAAACCAGTAATATATTAATAAACATTTCCTGGAAACAAATACTATAGTTTCTGATTATCATATACGAACACATTAATCAGCATCGTCATAGAACATATAAAGACGCTACAACTGTTTAAACGTTAGAGAGATTTAATAGTTATGTTGTAAAGCTTCTGAAGATTGAACCCACATAGCAAAGACAAACCCAGTGAATAGAAAAGGGCAAAATGCTGTATTTCAAACTCTATCAATACTAAGGCTGAATTTATGAAAACAACAGACACTAACTTGAAATTAGTGTTAATTATATTATTTAAAAGACATATTTTAAATAATTATATCCTTGCTCTTGCTCCTTAGAACACTTCTGGAACTGGCTATCATTAGAAGGTAAACCAGCTTTAAATATCTAGCACATAGACTAGGGTCCAGGTTTACTGATTGTGGGAGAGGTCTGACAGGGCTTTGGGAAGACTTAGTAGGAGATATGCACATCTCCTCCACGTATGTGGGGTATTTTGTACTAAATACTACTCCCATGTCTGAAGCTGGTAGTACTGGGGATAGCAAATGCTCATAGAGGTTTATGAAAAGATTACATTTCTCTACAGTTACGGATTTTTGTGGATTTTTCTTCTAGCCTTTGGAAAATGAATATTAAGGATACTTGTGTCACAAAACAACTAAAACCATGATACTAAAACAAATGCAAAGGTTACACAAAACCCCCATACCACAGGACACAAGATAAGTTGTGCTAGCTGTATCTATTATACAATATACATTTACTACACCAATTTCACAACCAAATCAGAAGTCACTGTATAACTGTGTTGCCACATAATCATTTTGCATCTTCAGCATCTAAATTAAGTGGGACTAACCAACAACGTCCCACTTCACTTCAACACAGGAAAGGGCAGATCATATGTTTTGTAAGATCAGTAAGCTCTGAGCAATCCAGTGACGCATGTGGAGTAGCCACGGAGCCGGTGGGTACTCCATGTCAGGAGTAAAGCACGAATCTTCTGGCTTCAGGGGATAGATGCCATGCTATCCTCTGACAAATGCTATGCAGAATCAAGATCATGTTGGTTGGTATACTAAACACTGTACTCTCTTACCAAAATTGCTGTGCAAGGGCTTGTCTAAACAGTGATTTAGTGCGCAGCAAGCAAGGGGTGTAAATCTACAATGCGTCACCCATTGTGCACTAAGTAGCCATGTGGACTGTGCTCCTGCACACTAAAAGTTACATAGTGCACTTTGATCTATTACTGACACCACGTTCCAACAATTAATGGGCTTAATCCTGAGACGCACTGAGCAATAGGATCCTACAGAGGATCTCTGCTCTATGGAAGACTCCAGGGGATCAGCACCTGTCAGGATCAGGACCGATACCAGTATGGTATTGGTAATATTACATTGATAGTCAAGTGTAAATATATCCCTACAAACAATTATGTTATATAAAAAAGATGTTATATAAAAAAGAAAATACATTATTAAAAATAATAATACCTGGTTCACAATTTATACTATCAGTAGAGACTACAGGGCTAATGGCAAAGGGTAATACACCCAATCCAGAACCTGGCAGAATTATTAGGAATATAAGTTTCTTGTAAAATAAAAACATTTTTACATAAATGACATTTCATTAATTCTTACACTGCCAACTGCAATTTTTCTTTTGGTAAAAACGTAATGAACTTCCCTGTTTGTCTTCCAAATTTAGAAATTCTGCAGTTGCTGAAAATCTCAGATAACACCCTAGACTTAGTACTTTCCTGGTTAAGACAAAACTTCAACAGTGTTTCCATGCATACCACACTTTTGCAATGGGTATCTCATAACTATGGCAAGGTAAGAATTAAGTATATGAACTCACTTTGCATGCACTTAATCAAGCTCTTTTGAAAAGGATTACTTGTTCCCATTACAACCCCCAGGTGTCGCAAGCTCTATTTTTAATTTGTCTTTTTAACTGCTTTACCCCAGGGCACATGCTTTTAGTTTGAAAACACAAAAACAAATAAAAATAAAATAAAATAGCATGTAATTGTATGTATTGTATTTTTGTTCTTAGCAGCCACCTCAGCAAATATTTCTGAAGTATAACAACGCCTTTCCTGAGGCCACAGAATATTGTGAAAGCTAAATCTTTCCTGATTATTGCAAAAAGCAGAAAATATTTGTAGCCATTAATACTTTAGTCTCATTCTCTAAATGAAACCCACCCAACTTGTATGGCTTCAGTGAAATATTTTGCAACTTTACTCCCACCAGTAAAAGAATAACCCCTTTGGAAGTCGCTAGCACAATTCTTGTGCAAGGTTTTTTATTATTAATTATTATTATTATTATTGTTTTTCATTCTGAAAAAAGTACTCTATTAAGCTACAATCATTTCTGGCTTCTTTGCTATGTATATGAAGGAACAACATTCCATCCACATTCCTAAACATTGATTTTCAGGGCCTTGTATGCCATGGATGCTAAATATAATTTTTTTTGATAAATATGAATAGATAAATATATGCCTTTATGCAGCCACTCTTTTAAAAGAAATACACGTATACATACGCAGCTATCATATTGTACTTTTGAATGTCAAGTATGACACAGTGCAATATGAAACTATACTTATGTGTTCTTCTGCTATATTATTGATTACATCTCATTTTAAAAAATGAAATTCAGGATTTCAAAGGCATTTTATGCCCAAAAATTTTAATTCTGAAGAAAAAAATTGTGCTTTCCAAACACCTCTATTTTTGACATTTATTATTAGCTATTTATACAGAATCAAGGGTTTTATTTTATGTAGTTTAGAATTCACAGCCTAAATAACAAAGCTTTGTGTAGTTCAAAACTACAGACACAGGACCAGATTCTGTTTTTACACTGGAGTTAAAAAGAAATCAGAATCTGTCACATAACCTACACCATAATTAAGAACTTGTATGTTTTAATCATGCACATTCATAGAATGTGAATATATAACTAGATAGCACAAGTGTACATTTGGTCTAGATTTGTGCCTTTTATCACCATCAATAATTATTTGCTCTACACCCTACAATTTTTTCATATTTTGGATTTAAATGCATTTTCCAAAATGGAAAGGGTTAACTTTTTAATTTAAAAATTTTTGTATTCCAGCACTCTGACCATAGAAAACATACAAGAACAAAACAGAATAAACCCATAATTATACAATTTGTTTCAAGATATGATCAAAATAGGTATCAATTTTAGAAAATTTGTTTTGAGCTTTTATAGAGAACACTATAAATATGTATATGTATCATTTTGGAGTAATCTTAACAACAAACAAATCTTTTCATTATTTAAATTGAGATTACTTTTCATCTTCCTCAGGCTGTCTTTGGAGAGATTTGGTTATACTCCAGAAGGATAAGGTTAAATATCACCATATCAGCAGCCATATGAAGCAAGGCTTTTCAATAAACAGTTGTTAAAGAACTATAACAATTTTGTTTGATTTGGGGACTGCATGCTTTTTCCTTCCTTATGTCCCAGCAACTGAGTTAAAAAACACTGCTCTCCAAAACCAAAGCCAAACTAGCATGTATTGCAGCAGCTTTCTTCACTTACACGTCTTGCAGCAGCCATCATTATAAGTCTGTACAGTGCCTCCATTCTAGGAAAAGAAAAGGGGAATATATCAAAAAAGACTGTGCCCAATGGAATGCCTTGCTGTATCCAATTACATTTAGAACATAATGGGCCAAATCTTCAGCTGGTGTAAATTGATGCACCATCACCGATGTCAATGAAGTTACAAAAATTCACAGCAGCAAAGGATCTAGGGTCAAAATCTCCAATCTGTTTTAAAATAGAATATTTGAAAATCAACTTGCCATTATGATTGAGCTTATCTGAGCTGGTCTCTTTTGAATCAAGAGAGCAGTCATCTTCTATAGACATTACCATCCATTCTCCCACTGATGACTCAATTAACATTGGGAGTTACTTAGACATTTACAAATTTCCATATACGAGTAAAATGTAATTTTGTTGAAGATTTAAAAGGATTTATATTGCTCATGTACCACAGAAATGAGCAGAGTGAAGATACCAATTAGATAGCTATTTACAACTGAATACCTATAATTTTGCATCATGTGATATATTTTCAGAGCTCTAATTCATCCCTTCATTCTAGTTTTTTGGTTTTCCTTTCACATTCTATAATTAATCTTTGTTACAGTTTTCTTCTCAAATGTATTGTAGGCAGGACTGAAGCAGGAATGCAGAAAACATATCAAAATGAGGAGATATTCCTTTTTAAATTAAAAAAGAAAGGATTTCTCTCATGCAGAACTGACATAATAAACAAGAGAAACTGTCCACACTTTTAATACATTTACAAAAATTGCAGATAAAGCAGGAGAGTGGATGGGATGGCAGTCTTGTACAAAAGATGTTTTTTTTTAAACTTATAGTATTGGTTTTCTATACTGTTATAGAGAAATCACTGAATAATCAATTTTTCAAAAACAAGCACTTAAAGTTAGCTTCCTAAATCCATATTAGCTCCTAAATTAACCTAACCTGATTTTCAAAACTGCTGAGCAACCTCAACTCTCACTTGAAATCAGTGCTTAGCACTTCTGAAAATCAGGTCAAACTGATTCAGAAGGATAATTTTAGGAACACATGCTGGAAAATCTTGGCTATTATTATTATTAAAGAAAGATCCTAATAGAATGTGATGAAAAAGCTCCAGAAATAAGAAAAAGTTTTTAACAGTGTCAACATTACTTTATGATAAGGTACTTTATTTGGGATAGCCAGGAGAGTGGCTCTGTGCCCTTTCTAAATAGCATGCAACAGATTTTGAAATCAGTACTCAGGACAGATACTGCAATGTATTTTTAGGAGCATTGCTTGAACAGCCACAAGAGCAAGAACTAGAATGTACAAAAAACAGAATAATTAATTAGGATATAAGCTAGAAACATATATTCCCTCAACAACAACAAAAAAGTGTGTGTGTGTAAAGTATCTAAGTCCTTTGAACCATAGCTATTTGGTTTATAGATGTTAATTTTTAGGTAGGTATACTAAGTAATTTGTAATCTTCATGAACCAGAGCTATTTGTTTCACAAAGAGCACAAAGTCTGCAGGCCTCCTGAAGTGTTTCTAATCTCTGTTCAATTTATGGAATTTTGAAACTCTGCAGCTGCACATTTATCTGCTAAGTTTCTAAGTGGCGTGAAACAGCTTATTTCATGTATGTGTTTATAAACTCTGTGAATTATAGGCCCTATTCAGAACTCTCTGCTCAGACAAAATTAAAGGGAGTAAGAACCTTATAAAAGTGCAGCTTAATACCAATTAAACAAAATTTTAAAAGTGGACGTAGTTTGGGATTTATGATATAACCCTAAAAACAAACAGAAGAATAGTAAATAAGACCATTCATTGCTCATTTAAAAGTTGTTACTTACCAAATGGTTTTTTAGATTAATCATTCTATGGAAAGTATAATATGGTTCTGAAATGAATGCCAAGCTCCAAAACAAAAGATTAGTTATTATGATTTACATCACAAAGTACAAACCTTTGTGCATTCAGTCTCATTAAAAGGGGGGCAGACAACACTAGATCCCAGTATCATAGCACCTACAGCAGTCTTTGCACACTCATATTTGGTGCAATTGGAGACCCAGGTGCTTCCCTCCTATAAATACAAAACAAAAATACCAGAACGGACAGCAAGTTACAGCAGCACTGAAACTAGAACATTGTTTAGTTATAAAGGTGTTATTTCCACATGTAGCCACTAAGATAGTGGACAGACCCTGGGTTCTATTCCTCGCCAATGCACCAGTCAGAAGGAAGAGCCTGCACCTGAAAAGTGCAACTTACTTCCCCGTGAATCAGAGTGGAAACTGAATTATGACTCAGAATAAGTAAGAGTCAAAGAGTCATAGAGTTTAAGGCCAGAAGGGATCACCAGATCATCTAGGCTGATGACCTGTAGATCACAGGCCACCAAAACTACCTAGCACCTGCACATTAAACCCAGCCACCAAAATTAAACCAAAGCATTACAGTCCACAGGAAGAGAATAGGAGGGACCGAGATGCTCCAGTGCCTGAGACTCCTGCAATGGCAGCGAATTGATTATGTCAGATATACATAGATAATCCCAGTAAGTGATCCACACTCCATACTGCAGAGGAAAGTGAAAATACCTCAAGGTCACTGACTAGCTGACCTGTGGGAAAATTCCATCCCAATCCCACTATGACCATCAGTTGGACCTTGAGCATGTGAGCATGAGCCAGCCAGTTAAGCATGTGAGTGACAGACTGTTCAGTGCTATTTCAGAGCATTGGCCCACCCCGTCCAGTGTCCCATCTCCAACCATTTCTGATGCTTCAGAGACCAAAAACAAAACAAAAAAACCAAACCCCAGAATATATTGGGGAAAGGTGAAATCCCTTCCTGATTTCCTGCAGGCAACCATGAAGCATGAACTGTAGGAACATATGAATATTAATCTTCTTGATGTTTCATTTATATCACACCTGCAATCCCCAAATGCTTTACAACCTCTCCAAAAAGTATATAGTACAGGAATCACTAACACCAATCACTGGAAGGCAGCCACTATTCTGTGTTCTGAGCCTCTACCAAAAAACATAATAGTAGCCATTGACCCAAACCTCTCTTTACAACTCACGTTTGCAAGTTTGCCTTATATGTCTGCTTAAGTGTTTGAACAAGAGCTTCCCTGACATCAATAATATTTCCAGTGTCTCTTAGGGAGCCTGATTTTCAGGTGTGCTGAGCACCCACATTTCCCATTGACTTCAGCTGAAGTTGTGGGTGCTCTGCACTCCTGAAAATTGGGTGCCAACAGCTAGCTCCACAAAGGGACTTGGGCATTGCAATGCTAACTTTTAGGCACACTGCCACCCAGTTGAAACTGCAGCCATCAGTTAAGCATCCAGGCTCCCTATGCAATGCATGGGGAGAGTTAGATGTCAACAAATGGGATTCACAGAAGCTAGCATGCTAAGCTAACCAGTAGGAAATGCCAAGGACAGGGGTACATCTTAAGATCTTCAAAGGTAGTCAAGTGCCTAAGTCCAGGTTGGAGAGAGGCACCTATCTAAACCTGGGATTCACAGCTGTGAACTGTCTCCTGGAGTTAGGTGACTAGGTCTTTCTCATGAAAAACCAAAGAGAATGATTCCATTATAGCCAATAGCCCAGTGGTTTGGGCACTTGAAAAGATGTGGGAGATCTATTTGCAACCCCTGCTGCAGAGCAGAACTTGAACTTTGAGTCTTCTATATCAGAGGTAAGTGCCCTAGCCACCGAGCTATTGGGCATTCTTGGGGGAGGGGCTTGCACTATCTCCTGTTCAAATTGTTCCATTTTGTATAAAACACTAAAGATTCATTGGAGGAGGCATTTAAACTTGGGTCTCCCACATCCCTGAGAAGTGGCCTAACCACTAGGCTTCAGAGTTACTCTCACTTTTTGGTTCTCTGGCCAAACGAATCTTTGCATTCTCAGACTGCCTACTTGATCGGGCCCCTCAGACAAGAGGGGGTAAAGCTTAGTTTGAGAATCCCACCAGGGCTTAGCCACATGCTATAGTGTCAAGCTGTTCAGCAGTGGCAGGAGTTAGGCAGTTCTGCACATGCGCTGTGGTGATAACTTAGGCACCTATGGGACTTTACTGGAAAATGTCAGGTGCCATGGTAATTTAGGTGCCTACAGCATTAGGCAGCAGTCAAGCAGAGATTCTGAGGACTCACTGATGCTTAAATGTTGGACTTATATACCTAACTGCCAATTTAGGTGTCTAAGTTCCTTTATGGATTTAGCCCAGGTGTTTAGATCAACTTCTCTGCTCCGCTATATCTGCTTGCTGATGACAGACAGCCATGTAGATACAGCTATATTAAATACCACAACTGTCCACATGGACAGACCAAAAGTAGGAATGTGAGAAATGATAATACAAGAACCAGCTAAAAGACGTCAGTTAGATACCTGAATATGTGCTACTGATACTATTATCGATACTACTGAATATGTGCTACTGACACTATGATTTCCTCCAGCTGTCCAGAGGCACTTACTTCATGTACAGATAGTGTTCCATTTTCAGTATAGAAAGTACAAGACACATTTTGGCAGGTTCCACAACAAACATGATGACTGGAAGAAGGAATGTATATTTGATGCTGTTAAAAAAGAAAAAAATTAAATGAACCTTTTTTTTTAACATATAGGTCACTAATTATAAGTTGATGGGGTGGTTTCCTTGTCTGTGTTCTCTCTCAATAGGGATGGTCCCAAGTCACAAAGTTTGGATGTGAATTGACATTCAAATTCTCCAAAGTGTTAGGCAGGGACATGATCTGGTGTTTTGATTTAGGCCCATCTCTACTTCTGAGAGGTAACAAAAACTTAGAATTTTATTTTATGATGAACCATATGATCTTTGCCCGTTCCTCAAATCTTTCTATATTCTTAGTTAAATGAATGAAGTCCATTTTGACCATTAAAACATGACATACCAAAATGAACAAACAATATAGGAGATCTATTTTGGTGAGATATATTTACTTTTTATGGTACACATTTACAACAAGAAATTGCAAGAATGAAGACAAGCGGTTAAGAAAGAAATCTGGGAATCAAATCTAAGAGAAAATGTGTCATTTATTAATAGAGTAAAAAAGTGACACCATGGAATAGGAATCCCATCCCACAAGGAAAAGGGAAAGTGTTCCCATGGCATATTGTCATTTTTACTTAAATTTGTGCAATATGTGTCCACTACAGCCTCTGGAAGTATGAATAATAATTCAAAAGCATCAAAATTAGAGAATTTTAATATTTACAAAAATCATCTTCTTCCACTCCCTACAAAAGAAACCATAAAAGAAATTCAACCCACTCAGGCAACCTCCCTCAAGCAAAAGCCTAAGCAACTCAATAAGCTTTACAATGTGCCCTGGAGGGGGGTTGTCAAAACAGCTAGAAAAGTGAACCCAAAGTGGACATTTCTCAACTGAGAATATCCTGTGTTTCAAGAGGAATAGCACAGAACTCACAGCCCATTGAGAAGGTGGACTAAGGTGGTATTAAGCCACCTTTGCATCCTTCCAATCCTGAGCTGCTCTGAGACCTCAGCATAATTTATGCAGTCCTGGAGGCCAGTTTAAGTTACGGCTTCCTCCCAGGGACATTGTATAGTTTTCAGCACTGCCCAGAATCTCCACAGTGCTATGTGCTGTGGTCCTGTGCTCAACACAATCCTCTAGCCTGCCTCCTGGCACACCCCCTACACACCTGGGTTTATGAAGGGGTCCCTGGAAGGCAGCCTGACAAGGGAATTCTCCCTGACTGGATATTCTTAGGACCCTTTTACACTTTTCCAGCCCCTTCATCTGGCCTAAAGGGGCTGGATCAGGGGTGAGGATCTTACCCTTTGTTTCTAAGATAGCTAAGGCCATGTCTGCACTTACCGGGGATTGACACTGCTGCAATCGATGCAGTGGGGGTCGATTTAGCGGGTCTAGTGAAGACCCACTAAATTGACCTCAGAGTGCTCTCCAGTCGACTCCAGTACTCCACCGGAATGAGAAGATTAAGGTAAATTGATGGGAGAGCATCTCCTGTTGACGCAGCAGTATAGACACCGTAGGAAGTTGACCTAAGCTACGTTGACTTCAGCTAGCTGGAGTAGCATAACTTAGGTTAACTTACTGTGATAGTGTAGACAAGGCCTAAGACTCAAACTTTAAAAGTTCTTCATATCATGGCAGTATTAATTATTGACTTTTTATTGGCAATCACGGTAGATCAATATCTATAATTTCCCCAAGAAGCAAACTGGTTAGCTTATATGTACACTATAGCAGTGGTTCTCAAAGCCGGTCCGCCGCTTGTTCAGGGAAAGGCCCTGGTGGGCCAGGCTGGTTTGTTTACCTGCCACGTCCACAGGTTCAGCTGATCGCGGCTCCCACTGGCCGCGGTTTGCCGCTCCAGGCCAATGGGAGCTGCGGGAAGTGGCGCAGGCCGAGGGAGGTGCTGGCCCCCCTTCCCACAGCCCCCATTGGCCTGGAGCGGCGAACCATGGCCAGTGGGAGCCGCAATCGGCTGAACCTACAGGTGCGACAGGTAAACAAACCAGCCCAGCCCGCCAGGGGCTTTCCCTGAACAAGCGGCGGACCGGTTTTGAGAACCACTGCACTATAGGACACATATGCTTTACTGGAGAAGCATCACTAAATAATTGGGCAACAGTTCCCTTCCTATATAAGCTGAAGTTTCTGAGTGGTCTGCAAGTATAGCCTCATGCAGAGTGCAGTGCAAAAGTCTGTCTTATTCCCAAATGACATAATGTTCATATATGAGAAAATGTAGTTAGAGGAATGGTTTAAAATTCTTCAGCAGAGATAAGCTAGTTTCTACATTTAAGGGCTATCTATGCAGCACCACAGTCCAGACCACAAGGGTGTGATTTGTAGAGTGCTCTAAGTGCCCCATGTAGACCCTGCTGGCATGGACTAAAAGGTACCTAGTTCACTTTAATGTAGTACTGGACCTTTTAGTTCATGTCAGCAGAGTCTACATGGGGCAGTTTAGAGGGCTCTGCAAATCACAGCCCCATAGTCCAGACTGCAGCACCATGTAGACAAGCCCTAAGAGAAAACCCCTAACGAAAACCCCAGATATGAATACTTCATGAACTTTCAGAAAGCAGATAGGGATCAATATCCATATCTGAAATTTTGCAGTTCAGGTCTATTTCTACTTATAACTTGCAAGCCATTTGCAGCCTAATTGCGAGCCAGATTCCCAAAGTGGGGAATACTGTATCAAAGTTACTACTTCTCTAGTTTCTTGTGCCGTCTACACACACAGCCTGCTTAAAATATGCACATATTTCTTACCTGCTGCTTATAACTTTTTGCCATGTAACTATTACTTTTAAATAACAGACTTGCAATTTGGGGGGGAAAAAAAACCCTCTTTGTTCCTGGCAACTTCTGAACTGCAAAATGAAAAATGTGTTTATAAAACTTAAATAAAAAAACCTCACTAACGCAATATTTGTCATAGGCCACCACCCAACAAACAGAAGGGTACTGCCATTAAGTCACGTTCTTATTATTCCACTTGCTGGATAGATGTACTGTTAAGCATCCGCTATTCAATTTTCATAATCTGTAATTAGGACGTTTTTGTTCACAAGTTACATCAGGACTGCATTTTAAAAACACTCACAGCATCACATTGTTGGGAACAGTTCACAACTGTAAAATCCATGGCATGATATCCTGTGCTGTGATCTTTTTCTTGTAAACACTGTACTGTGTAACAAAGATTTTCATCCAAATACTGAATCATAGATTGTCCAGGATTCAGCACAGTTACTTCTTGGAATACACATACATCATCCTTTTCTAATAATAACAATAAAAAGAAGAAGTGGGTCATTAGGAAAATATTTTCTATTAAGCAAATTATCAGAATCTCATTCAAACAACTAGGACCAGATCCTGCACTTTGTGACAACTTTGAAGTTTACTACTGCAGGTAGGGATTGTTCAAAGTAAGCCCCTTGACTTCCCATCCTGGGGACAAATTCTGTGTTCTCTTACATCCAGTGCAATCCCACTGACTTTGATAGAGTTCTATGGAGATGAAAATCAGTGCTGAATTTGCCCTCTCCACTTTAAATATGCCACATTTAGATGTGTATATTTAGTTGTGGGAGGGCTTCCTAGGCAGGAGGCAATATGCTCTTCCCAAGCATGTAGTGCACTGGTCAGAACATACAGGGAAATGAAAAAGTCACTGGGATGGATTTTAAGCAACAGCCTGCAACTTTGTTCACTTACAGCTGGATGGGATGGTATACACCCACCCATCTCACACATCAGCCATTTAGCTGGGTTCAGTGCAAGGTTACAGGGCTCCCACCATATAACCAAGAACCCAGGGTAAATCCTTCAGTCTACCTCCTAAGACTCAGCTCACTTCTAAGGCCTCTCATCCTCACGTCCTACCTCGCAAAAAGAGCAGAGTACCAACAGGGAGACCTTGGTCTGCAAAGACTTCAGGCCTCCCCTTCTTACAGGCACAAGGTCCATCAGCAAAAATCACAAGTCTCATTTGCCTTTGGGATGTAGCCCTTTTAGCTTTTATCCATTCTGGATACCATCTGCAAGCTGAGACAAACTGTAAATTCCTATATTATCCTTTAATATCAGACTTCCAAATGCTATTCTTCTTCATCCTAACTGCATATCCACAATGCTGTGAGGAAGGCAAAAAGCACACCAGATCTCTGCCACTTTGGCTCAACAGAAAAAAAAATTCCTCCTTGATCCCATAGACAGGTGAACAGTCACACCCACAGCAGCCTGGAAACACAGCTCCCTATCTACGCTATAGGGAGGAAGAGCAGAGCAACTGAAGAGGCAAGGGGGCCCCTTGAAGGCTGAGGAAAAGTTTAAATTATTTTAGGGACGGGCACAGGAGCCAATCAGTTCTCACTCTTCCCTCCTGGCTAACCAATGGGATATAACAAACTGGGGCCCAGGTCTGCAATTTTGGGGCATGTGCTCTCCACCTTCCCCCTCTCTTCCAGGAGCAATGCATTTCTTTTTATGGGCCAACCAATTATGTCCCTCCTAACCCACTTAATCTCCGCCCTTAATCTCCCTTCCGGGGACAGTGCATTCTGATCAAACATTTCTCCCCCAAGCCTCTCCGCCCCAAGATGGGTGTGGGGGTGAGATTTTTCCCACTCACTAATCCCATATTTAGGGCTGGTGGCTCAGTATCAGCACATACATGAAAGATTTTTGTCCATGTTTTACACCTGATTTGGAATTTAATTGTTAAACTGGATGGGATGGGGACTTTCCTAGTATTTGGAAGGAAAAGAAAGCCTACAACATAACACTGCTTAAAAAAAAACCCTGAAAAGCTATAAAATGTACAACTACATAATGTCAATAATACTCTTGGCCTGGGGCTGAAGTGAGTCTTCATATTTTCTGCATTTCTCTAATATTTAACACTGTGATAATCTAATGATATATATATTTAGTCTGCAAATCACAAAAATGTAGCTTTTCGCCAATTAAACTTCTATCTTTAGAATTAATGTTGAGACATTATACACTGTAGATATAAAGTCACTTTAGCATTTCCATTTTAGAAGGCCAGTATTGACCCATTTCTGCATTGCTTGTGTGCTTTTGTTTAGTCAAACAAAAATTAACAACATTAAAAAGAAAAAAAATTACCACAGAGGTACTGCAGGCATCCACAAGCACTATAAATGCTGTCGTCTATTTTTTGAACTTCTCCCTGTGTAGTAAGAAACAGTTTCAGAGTCAAATACATCAAACACAACTTATAAGACTTACAAGAGACCGCTTTTCTTAAAACATACAAAACTACTGTCACTCCAGCCTAAGCTTTGAGAAAGAGAAAATCACAATCCATTACAATAGACAGCAGATTGTATGGTTGCGAGATGCATTACTGTTAACAACAGCTAAGTGGTACACTTTCTTCTGGTCTGAATATAATGACAGTGTAGCTGAATATCAGTTTTAATTAATAATGACCTGAAGAAGAACTTTGTGTAGCTTGAAACTTCCCTCTTTCACCAACAGAAGTTGGTCTGATAAAATATTACCTTACCCACCTGGTCTCAGTTTTAATTAGTTTATTTTTAACAAAATCTATATTTCCTTTATTTTGGATATACTTTCAAGTGACAAATCCTGGTTATTTTAATAATAAAGATATATCTGGTCATAAAATACAACTTTGACAGCTCTGAAACCTCCTCCATGACTTTAGTATACACCTCTACCTCGCTATAACGCAACCCGATATAACACGAATTCAGATATAATGCGGTAAAGCAGTGCTCCGGGGAGGGCGGGGCTATGCACTCTGGTGAAGCAAAGCAAGTTCGATATAACGCAGTTTCACCTATAACGTGGTAAGATTTTTTTGGCTCCCGAGGACAGCGTTATATCAAGGTAGAGGTGTATTGTCAAAATTCTGATCTACTCTACATCTCTTGTAATTGGTTCAGAATTTGGCCTGTTATGATCCATATTATATTCTTTGAATTATATCCGCATTACATGTTCCTCATATGTAGAGCCCTGCACGGATACAAAATTTATAACCATGGATGCAGATATCTGTGGATATAAAGCGGATATCCACAGAACTGCAGGGCTCTACCAGGAACGGCAGCAGTGAAAGTTGCGGCATGTTGGGCATCTGCTTCCAGGAGTCAGTGCCCTACCTGGGCAGCTCCTCCGGCATGGCTGTACTGGCCAGCCACGCCCACTGGGACAGGCACCAGGCTCATTGGCAGCTGTCCCTGGTCATGCTAGTGCATGCAAGCAGCTCGCACGCTCCTGGACACACTAGCATGACCAGGGACAGCTGCCATAGATATCCGCATCAGTGAATATAAATTTTGTACCGATGCAGGGCTCTACTCATATGGGGGAGGGCATGTGATGGGAAAATATGCCTTTCATCACAGTGATAGTTCAGAGTTACATCATTCATTATCATGCATTTTCCAGGTTACAGCAACTATTTTGTTTAAAACAAAATAGAAAATGAGAGAAGAGGACAGTATATCTAAACTCTCATATGTTACAAAGGTCAAAGATATTTAAGAACTTTCATAGGAAGCATATATAATTAACAAAACAAGCCAACATTCTTCTAGAAACAAAGCATGTTCATAAAGTTGATTTCTTTCAATAACAAAAATTAATTTTGTAACTGGTAAAATTTTAAGCATGTAGATCCTAGTCAGTATTGAACAAAGTAAGATTACATATTCTTCCCTTCAGTTAGGTCTGCTTAAAAAACACAAAATCAAGCTTCTCCAGTGGACTGATGGTAGCAACACAGGATCTAAAATAGGGGGTTACAAGCTAGATTTGGAAGATAGGAGACAGTGTTTCAACACCTCCCCATTTTATAATCCATGTACTGGCAAATATATGATAGGCAGTGTTGGTAGCCTCAATCTCATAGCCTATGATGACAAACTCAAGGAAGGGACAGAAACAATAGTGCATAAAAAGAAAGAGGGGAATAAAAACACTGGATGTTATTAAGTAACATCTAAGGGAAATTTTCTTACCACTTTACATGTTGGTATAGTAAAATTTTCACAGCTACATTCTAAGGAGAGAGCAACAAAAGTGTATCAGTCAAAAGACATTAACTTTTATTAATAAGTAACTAGTAGAAGAATGAAAAATAGTTACCACAGTGCCAGTCTGGACAACACTGTCCAGGTACTTTCTCTTTCACAAGTTGCATGTCAGCTGTGCAGTTCAGAAGAGGCACTGAACAAAGGTTCTCATCACAAACTAAATGGGGGGAAATGACATGGATCAACATGTTTTCAGCTCATATTTCCTTAGATAAACTATTCTAACAACATTGAAGGTTTTTCATAGAATTTTGTTATCACTATTTAATTGTTAAGGTCCAATAGCATTCTTAGCACTGTACGAGGGACAAATAGAGAGACAGGCCAAGATTTCCAAAAGTTAGCGATTTTGGTTAACTCAATTTTTGATGCCCAACTTAAATCACCTTAAAGGGTCTTACATTTTTCAAAGTCTGCTGAATGCCAATTATCTGAAAATCTCGCTCCATCAAAGTGACTCAAGTTGGGCACCCAGCAATTGAGGCACCCAAAATCACTAGTAGTTACAGGAGTGCTTTAACTGTATATCTGTAAATAGTTGGTAGATGAGATGTCAGTATACGGTGACTGACCAGAGGCACAGAGTCACTTCAGCAATGGTGGTGAACAACATTCCACTCCTTGTTGCAATGCTAATGCATGGAGATAGCTGTGAAAACTGAAACTTCTTCAGACTCTATTAAGGACAAACTGTGAAAGGGATACTGTAATAACTTAGGACATTATACAATACTGAACATTTTATAATACTATATTTTTAACATTTGGATAAATTCAACTTTAGCTGGAAAGTGTTGAATCAGCCGAAAAAAATAAATACTCAGCATATAATATTGACCAGATACAGTAAAACCTTTTAATTAAAAATAGCTAAACTTACCACAATGGTAACGAGGACAACAGGAATGCATGGTGCTAAGATCTACTGTGAGAATTTCCCCCTCATTACATAAAGGAACAGGCTCAATGCAAGATTCACAAACTAAAGTTAAAAAGAATAAACCAAATACAAAGTTTAAAATACATCATCAGAAAGTTGTTACATATGAGTTTTATTCTACCCACATTCTTCTACTGTGCCTACCTGCCAGCCAGCCACCTGGGTATCTAAGAAACTTTTATTGACTAACACGTTCAGACAAAATAGATAATTGAATGTAATGATACAGTAATGGAAGTATCTATTGCTTTGCCTGGTGTTGAGATTTATGCTCAAACTTGCTACATGAACTGAAAAAATGACTGTTGGTGGGCTATAATCTATGAAGCTGCAGACTGAAGGCAAAGGTCACATAGTGCTATAAATGAAATATGTCCAAATATTTTCAGACAAGCCCAATTTCTGTACTTGTGTGTGAGATGCCATAATTCTTTAGTGTGCAGTTCAGCAGTAACATTAAAAAAAGTAACCTAGGAATAAAGGCCCCAAATTGCAAAACAACACATGCAAGTGGACACTTATAGCTGTAAGTGTCTGCCCAGGCCAATCCTGTGACAGCATTCTCAGGCAACCTTATCAAGTATGCAACTAGAGACCTGTCTTTTCTTATTTGTAAGAAACTTAATAACTTAATAACAGTGGTTCTCAACCTCTAGTCCAAATACTCCTGGGAGGTCTGCAGACTACGTCTAAGGGGTCCACAAAAGACAGACTGAAAACTGACTGAACAGATTCAACAATATATACACAGACAATAGATTTCTAAAGGGGTCTGGCACCTCCATTCAAAATTTTCTAGGGATCCTCAAATGAAAAAAGGTTGAGAACCACTGCCCTATAATATCCTGTCTACCCACAGGGAAGGTAGTATAGTAAAGGCTTCTTACCACATAGATAAGAGAAACAACAAGGATCTTCCTGTTTTGCTTCAACAATAAATTGGTCCTCTCTGCACTCCGGACGGGGAGCATTGGGACATGCTAAGGGATCACATTCTACATAAAAGACAATCAGTATCTCTAATAAAAAGTCACATGAGTAATCCTAAAATAGAAGAAGCTACTTTCCTTAACTTCTTTTTTTTCATTTTCTCGGCTCTTATCTAAACAAAACTAAATTGATTGGAAATCAAAACTGACAGAAAGAACAAATACAAAAATAAGTATAAACCCTAAGGAACAGAGCAGAAACAACCTGAGGAAGAGAATAGAAACATTTCTCATAAGTTATTTACAGTGATCTGTTAATACAGGCAGAATCGTCATCTGGTACAATTACCACAGATAATGTAGGGATGGAAAATATGCTCTTAATCTTGTCTCCATATATCACTTACCACATTGGTATTGTGGACAGCAGGAAAGGGTGCTATAGCCTACCATCAATTTTTCACCATTTTTGCATGTTGGAATAATAGCCTCACACATAGTCATGTTACATTCTGAAAAAAATATATGGTATATGCAAATATTCATGTGTATGAATGTGACTAGACATTACATTTGTTGATAGCTACCTGTAACCACTTGCCAGTTATCTAGAGAGTGAAAATACCAGTTCAGCTATCCCCTTTGCCCTTTATTTCCACAAAAATATTTCATTAAGACATTAAAACAAGCATCTTATGACTAACATATCAGATACTAGAAGCATGCTTCTTTTGGACAGACAGAAAACTAGCATCTGACCATCAACTGACACTAAGCTGCTTTCTGGGAAAACAGGAACATGCCAATGCATGATTCACTTAGAAGAAGCCGTGGTGCAAAGATGTAGAATCATGAAGATTCTAACAAGGCATTCCACTGTGCTGGCAGCTCACTGATGGAAATAGAAAATAAAATAGTTAACTAGATAAGAGGAAGAACGGTGTTGTCATTAAGGCAGAGGACACGGGATCAAGGAAATTTGGATTCAGTTCCTCGCTCTGCCAAAGTCTTCTTGTGTTTCTTTGGGCAAGTCTCTCTATCTCAGCTCCCATGTGTAAAACTGTGCTCAGTCAGAACTTCTTCTTTGTCTCACCCTATGACTTGTCTATTTAGATTTTAAACCCTTCAGAGCAGGGACTGTGGACTACTCTGTGTACATAACAAACCTAGCCCTAGGGGACAGCAATCTGTGTTTGGGTCTATTGCCAATACTGTTATCAATAATACCGTTATTTATTATTTGCACAATAGAATACATAATGTGCAACAACTAGGGAGAATTACCTTAGGGTTTGTCTACTTGAACATTTATACCATGGTAAGCTGGGGTGTGAATCTATCCCGCACTAGCCTGCTGCAGTCTAACTCTGCTGATGCATGTTAACAGCTTAAAAGGGTCCACACAGGTACTTACACTGCGGCAGGCTAGTGCAGAGTAGATTCACACTCCAGCTTGCTGTGGTTAATTGTTCATGCAGATAAGCCCATACTCTTCTATTTAAAAGCTCAGCATTGACCCTAGGTGTGAGGACTGTTCTATCGTATCCCTTCCAAGACAGGAATAATCTGCAAACTGTTTAGGAAAGTTTAGCCTATGTAAAATTAGCCTACATGACATAGACTATGTCTACGCTAGCACTTTTGGCGGTAAAACCTTTGTCAGTCAGATGTATGAAAAAACACATATGCTCTCCCACGGACATAGCTACCATCGCTTGTTGGAGGTGGTTTAATTATGCCAATGGGAGAGCTCTCTCCTGTCGGCTGAGAACGGCTACATAGGAGACCTTACAGCAGTGCAGCTGCAGTGGTACAGTAGTAAGGTCTCTAGTGTTGACATAATCTTACAAACCGGAGTCCCATTTTCAAAAGTGACTAAGACAATTAGGAGCGTAAATCCCATTAATTTTCTGAGAAACATTGGGTCCTATGTGCCTATAAGTGTGCCTAAAATTAAACATGTTTGGGCTTGGGCTAGAGACCAAGCTCTGGGACCCCACGAGGGGGGAGGGTCTCAGAGCTCAGGGTCCAGCCTGAGCCCAAATGTCTACACTGCAATTTTACAGTCCCACATCCTGAGCCCCAGGAACCCAAGCCAGCTGATACAGGCCAGCCACTGATGTTTAGTTGCAGGGTAGACATACCCTAAGTCACTTTTGAAAATAGGGTTTTCACTCTTAAGTCAATTAGGCATTTTTGAAAGTTTTACCCTGAACCCTGCCTGTAAATCAATCCATGTCAATAAATGTTTAAACACCTCCTTAGCACTCTTGTTATGGAAAATATGTTTGGCTGCATACATACCGCAAACTTTCTTTGGACAGCAAGCCCTCTCTTCAATGACATTAATGATAACTTCACCTTCCCTCTCACAGACTGGCAGTGGGTCTTCACTGCATTCTGGTTCTATAGCAATAACACTTCCATTCTCCAAACAGTTATACATACAACATCCTTTAATGGACCCATTCCAAACTTCTCCAGCAGAACGAGGCTGTCCTTCATTATCTGTACATGCTAAGGAAGAAAAACATTACATCCTTCAGACCTGTGTTTAGCACAAATTTATTCCGGACTAGTACAAATAATGTGTCAGCTGGAAAACCTCATGGCAAAAAAGGATATGCAATATTTTATCAAGTATTTAATTGAAAGATCTGCATTGTTTTCTAAAACAAGATTGATTGTCATACATTGAAAATTACTAATTTAATTGATCTATTCTATTAACAGAAACTCTAGGTGGTATAGAATGCCAGCTCCACTGAATGGTATGATAGCTGATGTGCATAACACCAGAGTTCAAGTTTCTGCACATACTTCCTCTTTGCTTCTGGGAGAAATTCAAGAAGTCAGTGACTAACTTTATAGTCTTGAATTGTCTGGGTCCCAGTTACATCAGAAATTACCTCTCTAATGATACCTCCTTGTCTGCAGTGTAGTTATAGCTGTGTCTGTCCCAGGATACTAGAGATACAAGGTGGGTGAGGTAATATCTTTTATTTGTGGCTCTAAAGCTTCTCTCTCTCACCAACAGAAGTTGGTTCAATGAAAGATATTACCTTGCCTACCTTGTCTCTCTGATACCTCCTCGTGTCATTTAGATCCTCTAAAAAGCATTTGCTGTCATAACCTAGATTTGAATGGCCTGAATCTTTCTACCTCATCCTCACAGAGCCACAAACCCTGAGTAAGTGTCCAAACTCACTCCCTTCATTGAATCTATTTAGAACTCAAAAACAATACCACAAGATAAACTTCAGCCTAAGCTTCCTACCTGCGACTGGCATTTAAAACCATTTGATCCAAATAGACACTGCCATTCCCTTTACACATTGTGGGAGAATTAAATTTGACATAAACGCAGTCATTTTGTGTGTCCAGCCAATATTAGCTGAAAACCAAATACCATATCATTAAAAATAATTGTTAGGACTTTGAAAGGCAAGGCCAAATAGCTGCATGATTGCAGTTTTGCTAATTAGAATGGGAGGATGTGATAGAAAGTTAAGAGACCATGAAAATGGAGGGGAGTACATAAATAGCCAACCTGGATTTTAAGTGCCCCTAACGTGTTTTATTGTTGTTATAATTAAAAATACTAAAAATGCTTTGCTAATAAAAAATGAGCAATTTGCTAAAGCTAAAAAAAATTGTGACTGGCTAGGGGTTACTAAGGTGACCCACTAGGAGTAACTATAAGTTACGTGCGTTATTTAAGTTAGTTATAAAAAAATTAAGTACAAAAATACACTTTGGAACAGTTCAAGGAAGCTTTTCTTTGAGCAAAGACACATCTCCCCAGCAGGTGGACAAAAGGAGGGCCCGCGAAAGCCTGGCTGTTGATCACTGGAAACCATCTCAAACTTTGGATAACTATAATCTGGGATGCTGTAAACCTGTTGCTACGGCATCTGTGTATGTTCCTGAGACTCAGTGAAAGCACCCTTGTTTGTACCAATCATTTATCAGACTGAGGAGCTGTGTCCCCATTCATTTGTTCCTGACACTGCCTGAAAAAACAGGTTCAGTTACCACAGTTTGGAGTTCTAAAAACCCCAGGGAATGGAGCTAATTATATCCATTTTCCAATATGACTGAGTGGTAATTAGTCTGAATGTTAACACAGGAATATAACTAGAGCTGTCATGGAGGATTCCAGTATTGCTAAGTTTAATTTTGTTTCAACTCAGAATAAAAGCCAAACATTTTTAAATTCTTTGGTTCTGGGGCAGTCTGCTTGATACGGAGCCCTGGAGCTGCAGGCCCCGGAAGCCAGGGCTGCCAAGGAGCCATGACAGCCTAGAAGCCTAGGCTTCCCAGAACAACCTGGCAGGGACAACCACTGGCCCAAAAGCACCACCAAATTACAAACTTCTTGAACAAAGGGTGGACACAAAGCCACTCAATATAGAGGACAGGAACCATTCTTTGTTTTCTTTCTTGTAAGAGGGGGAACAAGTTGTAGAAACACAGGAAGAACATCCTAGTGGAATGGCCCTTTGACCAAGAATAGGGATTGCACCAAGGACCTCCACAGCTAAAAGCATGAATCTCTACAGCTTTAGCTAGAGAGCCAAGTGCCGTATCTGGGGCTGTAACAGATTCACATTCTCTGGTGACTGGGCAAAGATAGGGTACATAACTTACTATGAGATGTCAATATAACCCACCAGTTAGTGGGTTATATTAACATACCTACTCAGCCACTCTGCTCAGCTTTACTTACCACATTTTTCTTCAGGTATGCAGAGGTCAGAGTCTGTTCTATGAAGAATAGTTCCATTTTTACACACACAGTCTTCTCTTAAATAGGAGCATGGGGATTCTTCATAGAACCATTTATTTAGGCACGTTTTGGCTGCACAGGGTTGCACACAAGGTTGGTATTCCTTGCCATCAGGACAACCCAGAGCTACAAGTCACACACACAGAGGAAATAAAGTATTGCTTTCATTTTCAAAAGGAGAAAATATGTAGTAAGAGCAATATTTCTATATCATAAAAAGCATATTTTTTACATTTTTAGCAACATAAATTACAAAATTATGCTTTAGGAATACATATGACTAATTCAGTCAAGATTAGAATTAAGTTATAACATATTTAATGAAAGACATCACTTTAGAGTTTTAAGAAATTTTACCATGACTTAACAAGGCTGTGATTGAAAGGGCAAATCTTCTGACAATAATATGTAAAAAGAAAAAATTGCTAGCTAGTATGCAAGACACAGAAAGGTTGCAGTGATAGGAAATTATGTCTGGAGATAGAATAGTGTTATTTACTTACAACAGTAATCCGGTGTCCTCCACTTAATGCAGATATTATGTTTGTTGCACAAAGCCACATATGCAGAAAGTGCATCACATTCATAATTCCAAAAGTAAGTATTGTTGATCCACATCTTCTCACAAAAGTCCTGTGGTGAAACCTAGAATTACATTTTAATTGAGATTTAATGAGGACAGCTTTTTGTAATCAAAGTTGCTAATTAATTACAAGAAATATTACCACTGTAGGGGGAAAAAATCATCAACGATCCCTGGCTGACAGGAAGTCAATATCTTTTCTGTTTCTGATCACTACTTCTATGATTCTACGCCCTCCCCAATTTTATATGCTCACTATTAGGCAGTTTTGTTACAGATCCTTCTTCACTTTTGAATTTTGTTTCATTTAACTTCTATGAAGCACATAATATATTCCATCCTCTCTGGCTCTGCCAGTTTCATGTGCACATGAGAGAATAAACTTCATTCTGGCTGAGGCAAGCATTCCTGGCTTTGACACAATGTCAAACACTGATGCAGCTCAGAAATGGAGCACACAGGTTCAATGCATCAGTGCTCCTGACAGCTCTGTAAGGAGTGGTGTTCAGAACCCAATGGTTTTGTCATGTATTTTGATTACCCGACCTACGTCTGAACTACTAGAAGCTAAAGACATCAAAGTGTATAAAGCAAAGACTACCCCCACCTTTTCCCTCCTGCTGCCAAATTGCTTTCCACAGCTCCCTCCTCTCTTGCCCTGTCAGGTTTCTTCAGGTGACACCTACCAAAATGTCACTCAATTTTTCTCCTCAGCCCATTCCTTCAATCAGATTTCCCTCCCTTTTCTCCCTTCATATAGGAGCAGGGGCAAAGACAGGAAACATCTCTGGAGCTTGAAGGAAGGGGTTGAGCTGCTCATGATGCTACTCACAGTTGGCTGGTCTACAGTCAAGCAGATTTACAGGGAAGGGCAGAGCAGGGCAGAACAAACCACAGAGAAGGAGAGGTAGGAAAGAACAAAAATAAAATCAGGAATTGGAATCTGGACCTTTGCTCCTACTCTGAGAAAGCACCAGATGGAAAAGAAGTCTTGAGGCTTGTCTGCACAGTCCAGCAATGCACACCACGGGGGAGTGAGTTGTAAAGTGCTCTAAAGTATAGACCCTGCTGATGTGCTCTAAAAGTACTCATTAACGTATTCCTGTTTCATGGGGCCATAAGTGACATGTGTGTGTATGGGGGGGGGGGAAATGCAGGGTCACATGCCCCCCAGATTTCTTCCAAGCATAGCTGAGGGAGATGTGTCTGGGAAAGGCACCAGCACTGAGCTCTTCCACTGAGCCCCACTAGGTGGCACCCAGGGCAGGGATTTGAGACCAACTGGTAGCAGCTGCAGTTACTACAGCTCAACAGTGGATCCAGCCTGGGGTGCACGTGCAAGGATGCAGAAGGGAGCTCAGGGCAATGTAGGAGGAGAGAGGCAGTAGGGTCCGGGGGCACTGGGGATGTTGGAGGAATACAAGTGCAGTTCCACTGAAACTGACAATGATATTTTATTTCATTTTTTTCCTAAAGGCTCTAATCCAGCAGAGTACTTAACTGTGCTTAAATCCAAGCACTTGAGCAGTTCTATTGATTTCAATGGGACTAATCACATGCTTATAATTGAGCATATGCTAATGAGTTTGTTAGATTGGAACCTTAATATTAAAATATATTATAATAAATAGTAAGAACTGGAAAGTCACACTTGTATCTTGTAATATTAATAACAAAAGTGGGTCAGTTGTGAAGCTTCAATCCAAATTCAAGTTCCTAAACTTCAGATACAAACCCAAGCCACTTCACAAGAGTGTTGGGATTTGGAGTTCTGAATTGGTCCATCATATAAATAAACCTGAACTGTGAATCATAGAATTGTAGAACTGGAAAGGGCCTCAAGAGGTCATCTAATCCAGTCTCCTGTACTCATGGCAGGACTAAGTATTATCTAGATCCTGACAGGTGTTTGTCTAACCTGCTCTTAAAAATCTCCAATGACAGAGATTCCACAACCTCCCTGGGCAATTTATTCCAGTGCTTAACTACCCTGACAGTTAGGAAGTTTTTCCTAATATCCAGCCTAATATATTCTAATATTCCCTTTGCTGCAATTTAAGCCCATTGCGTCTTGTTTTATCCTCAGATTAAGGAGAACAATTTTTCTCCCTCCTCCTTAAAACTACCTTTTATGTAGTTGAAAACGGTTACCATGTCCCCTCTCAGTCTTCTCTTCTCCAGACCAAACAAACCCAAATTTTTCAATCTTTCCTCAGGGTCATGTTTTTCTAGACCTTTAATAATTTTTGTTGCTTTTCCCTGGACTTTCTCCAATTTGTCCAGAAGAGACATCATAACTACCAGGAGGGTTCGCATGATATTTCTGGTACTTGTGATGCCCAAGGCTGCTAAAGTCTCCCTGTAAAGCCAGAAGAGAGAGCAGATTCAAACAGAGGGGGGAAATAATTGTATATGGTTAAATTAGAACCGATTCCTGACATAATTACTGGATGCTGATATTATCACAAGAGCTCTAAAAGATCATATCAACGGATTGGTTTGCAAATATCTCTGTTCCTCAAATTGATAGACTGTGTCAGAGCAACCCAGAGCTTCTTCATGTGTAGCTCTCTTTTAGAACAGTCTCCATCTGCTATTACATAGCATTGTAAATAAAACATGATTAAAGGTCTAGAAAGTATGATCTATGAGGGAAGATTGAAAAATTGGGTTTGTTTAGTCTGGAGAGGAGAAGACTGAGAGGGGATATGATAACAGTTTTCAAGTACACAAAAGGTTGTTACAAGGAGGAGGGAGAAAAATTGTTGTTCTTAACCTCTGAGGATAGGACAAGAAGCAATGGGCTTAAATTGCAGCAAGGGAGGTTTAGGTTGGACACTAGGAAAAACTTCTTAACTGTCAGGGTGGTGAAGCACTGGAATAAATTGCCTAGGGAGGTGGTGGAATCTCCATCATTGGGGATTTTTAAGAGCAGGTTGGACAAACACCTGTCAGGGATGGTTTAGATAATACTTAGTCCTGCCTTGAGTGCAGGGGACTGGACTAGATGACCTCTCGAGGTCCCTTTCAGTTCTATGCTTCTATGACATCAAAACTAGCTCTAGAAATCAAAACTCCTTTGTCTGTTGAATGCGTGCCCTGAACCCTGCGGCATACCACCAGAACCTTTAAATTGTGTCTCCCCTTCTTCCCCATCAGCAGTTACCAGTCACCTCCACAAGGAGCAGGTAGAGAGCAGCACTTTAGAGTGCTCTACAATTTACATCCTTCTGGTGCACACACCATGTAGGCAAGCCCTTGGGAGTGAGCAAGATTGTACAATCATATTTCCTTCCTCATAAACTTATTTTCTCATTCCTCTTCCCCTGCAAACCATGCCTACCTCTAGTGGCAGCTGATGTACTGAACTATGTCATTACTAGAAGTATTGAAAATAAACACTGTCTGTAAGGATATCACAAGGGTAGGAGTGACTAGACTAATGTCTATGTGACTCAGATACTTCTGTAAGTCTGAACTGGATGCTATTACATTTAATAGAACCATTAGGCCTTCACTCCAAGCAACATGCTTCTTGATCATGCATTAAACACAACCCTTTCTGATATAGGCGTGCGCACAGGGTGTGCCAGGTGTGCCTAGGCACACCCTAATGCCCTGCGCTCTGGCTGGGAAGGCTGTTCCTCTCCCCTCCCCTCCTCAGCTGTTTGCGGGGCAGGCTCAGATCAACTGCTCCCTGCTCCAGCAGGGGCTGAGTGAGTCTAAAAAAAAAAAAAAAAAAAAAACCTTAGGGTTAAGTGTGGGCGGGAGTGCGGGGCTATCAGCAGCAGCACAGCCAGCCCCTGCTTAGCTAGGGCCCGCCCCACACCTCTTGGGCTGGTGGCCATGGCATCCACATGTATGGCTGCTCCCTGCCAGCCAGGCTTGACTCCGGCCACAGCAGGCAGCAGGTGACCCACGGGAGCCCAGCTAGGCTAGGGCTGGATGCAATGGGAGGAGAAGTTCCAAATACCGGCAGGAGCCACGCGGAGGTGGGGGAAGAGAAGCCCTGGACGGGGCTGGAGCCATGTGGGGGGGGAGGGAGTGGGGTTGGAGGAGAAGCCCGGACCCAGACAGGAGCTGCACTGGAGGGGGAGGAGAAGCCTGGACCCCAGCAGGAGCTGCACCCTGGGGCAGGGAGGAGAAGCCCTGGACCCTGACAGAGGATGTGGGGTTGAAGTCCCTGTCTCGGGAGCCCCAGCCACCCTAGTGGCACAAGTTGCAGGGCTGAAGCCCTGCCCCCACTCTGTGTGGAGCTGGCCTGAGCCCCTCTCTCTCCCATCCCCCCCGTGGAGCTGGGGCTGTGCGCTTCCGCAGGGAGGATAGGAGCCTCATCTCATGCTAAGAGGTCCAGGGCCACGGGGGTTGGATAAGGGGTGAGGGCAGTCAGGGGACAGGGAGCAAGGTGGGTTGGATAGGGGGTGGGATCCCAGGGGTGGTGGTTAGGGGCAGGGGGTCTCTGGAGAGGGCAGTCAGGGAGCAGGGGGGGTTGGACGGGGCAT